TTCAGGTAATTGATATGTGAGCCAGAAACATAGTACTTAGTATGAAACAAGAATATGTTCCAAGATGGAGGGGATAGGGCAAGTTTTTAAAAGGCAAAGGTTGTAAGGAGCTAATGATCACAGGTATGGGTTGCTAGGAAAAACAAGACCACAAACTTACCTCACTCATTTTCTCACTGATGGAAACATTCAATGATTAGCTGAATCAGTGGTCAAACAAGTGGGGTTGTGAGATGGGAACAATGGATAAAATATAATTAAGCATTTATCAACGTCATAGTTTCAGCCCAGACTGGTAAAAAAAGGGGGGGGGGCGAGGGGCTGGCTTTTGATTATACAATTATAGTCCAGAGAGTATTATTTATCAGTGATGAAAGGAGTACAATCTATCAAACAGTATAATCAGCACAGAGGGGCTGCTGGATCTCTAGGCAGTTTTAGAGCCTGAACGGGCAAAGTCATGCCTTGCAAAAACTTCAGAGCTCAAGCTGCAAAAATCCAAATGTTGGATTCCAAGTTATGACATTGAAGTTCTTATAAGGATTCAATATTTACTAGAAATTGACACCTGTGAGGGAAAGGGGGAGAGAGCAGCGTTGGGCAAGGAGAAAAGCTGAACTGCAGCACAGGCCTGACAAAGTCTTGGCCAACTCATTACATTGCCTTTTCCATATTAATGTTGATTTTTACATACATTCTCTCTTTTATACTTACCAGTTAGACATTGGATAACTAATTTCATTGACCTGTCAAAAAGTCAATTGTCTCTCTGCTGCATTACTTGAAAGAATTTCCCTGTGTCAGGTGAAAATTATGGTATTTGCTTCCCAGCTTGTGATGGTAGGGAAATGGCTTTCTGAAATTGAGGCAAATTGCAGAGACCCTGGTCATGTCATGTCCCATAACTCAAAGGATTCTCACGAATTTGATTGTCTTCTCTCTCATCTACTTTCCTCCAGGGGCTCTTAGAAACTCAAAATCATCATTTTATAAAGTTACTTGAGTTTTTCATAAATCACTTCCAAATACTCCTTGAATTTTCAAAAGCAAATGTGAGGGTTTATCCAAATATTTTAGCTATATTCTCTCCTGTAATGAAAACACTAATCATATAATAGTTCCTTTATGAAATTTTCTTTTTTATATGACTTGCTCTTTTCCCTTTTTGATACCTCTGTTTGTACAATCTTCCCTGACCCATTTTAAAAACAATGCATATAATATACTAGCTTCACTTCCTGAGGCAGATGTCTTCACTTCAGTTTACCACCCAAAACTCAATTTCTTTATTTCAGGCTTTTTATTACCAAAGGAATATTGGTATAACAACCCCTTGTGTCAGAAAAACTTCCCCATTGCCTTGATTCTAAAACAGAAAAAAATAAGTGCTTATGTCTGGCCAGGTGAGTAGGATAGCCTTTTAGGCTAATCCCTTGTACACCTCCTTGGGGCTTCTTCTATGTCTGTATACACACTGCCATCCTACCCATCTCATACTCTCCACCCAGGATTTCTTTCTCTAACTACAGGCAGTAGGATATAGACCTATAAGAATATATTTTTATCTAATATCTCAACTATAATACAGTATTAATAATACCTAAAAATTGTCAAACACTGATTAAAGAGGTTTACATTCATTATATCATTTCACACCATGACAGTAAAGTTATTAAAATTATTTATCAAATGTTAAACTAAGTCACAAAGAGGTTAAATAACTTGCCCCAAACCTCAGAGCTAATGAATGGAGAAGCCACCATCCTGACAGTTGGTTTCCATAGTGCACTCTTCAATGCAGCATATATACCATTCCTCCAACTCTACCCATGTAGTATTCCAAAGTTCTATTTCTACTCTTATTTTTTTTTATTTTTTCAGCTAATTAAAGCATTCCATGGCTCTCTCTGCTAGAGTTTTCTACTCTGCTACACTCTTCTCTGCCATTCCCTTAGAGAGATTTAATATACCAAATGCTGAGACCAAAATTTTACTCTTATAAGCCATCTTTATTTTGACTCAGAAGTGCTCTGAGTTTTGACTCAGTGGTCCTGACTAAGTTCCATTCTTTGGGAGTTTGTTCAAGCAGTCTTGAAGGCTGGTTTATTGCTTTGAGTTCTTTGATCCTCCAATGAAGCCACTGAAATGCCAGGTTAAATGATTCTTCTGTGCCAGTGTCAGGGCATTTCAGATGAATCTCTTTGTCCTAATGGAGGCAGAAAAATTAGTAAAGTTTTCAAGTGAAGTTTTCTGCCCAGATCCCCTCCCTTCCAGGGGGTACAGACCATACAGTTGCTGGATTTTTTGGATGTCTTCAACATCAAGGTAGAAGGTACTAGGGTTCTGATACATATATCTGGGATACATTATGGAGTTCCGACTTTTGGAGTGCCACAGGCCCAGAGGATGACCCAGCTCATGAATGGCAACCAGGAGCAGATTAAATCCTGAAAAGTCACAGACAAAAGAATAAAAATTAACTAAGCATAAAGAAGGCAGAAACAGGTGTGTGAAAAAAAGGGGGCGGGGAGGAACAAGAAGAGAACAGAAAAGGAGGAAGCAACAAATGTTAGGGTGAGGAAAAAAAAGTAGGCAGAGAGGGAAAGAATCTAAGTAGAAAACAAAATGGCAAAATATATACATAGATGAATTGGAAGTGAACGAGAAGCATGAAGAAATTTGATAATTGGATGGAAATAGATGGAGAAAAAACACAATATGAATGTGTTTATTTTAGGAGTATCTTTGTTCAGATGCTCCTAAGCTCACCCCACTCAAATAAGAGACCCAATTCTTTTGTTTGGTTGCTGTTGTTGTTTCCTTTCTTATTTAAATTTTTTAATTTATCTTTATTGTTAAAAGTAATAGAGATGTAGCCTTTTTTCCCCCATTGACCACTTCTAACCCACCCCTTTCCCCCTCTCCTCCCCCACCCCCAGGCCTTCACCACACTATTGTCTGTATCCATGGGTTATGCATATGTGCATATAAGTTCTTTGGTTCTTCAACCATGTCCTCACCCTGGCCACTCTGAAATTTTCCCTCTCTTCTCTTTACTATATTGTAGGCCCAAATGGAGACTATCAATCCATCAATACAAACCCCCAAGCTCCCAGTTTTAGCACTCCCACCACATAAGAACTTTACCTTTGTATGAAGTTGACCAATATTCTCCCTTGTCAAAGTGGGTGATTCCTGGAGTTTCAGGATTTGGTAAAAAAGCATGGGCTAAGTATGACCTGGCCCATCAAAGGGCCAACCATCTCCATGGTCTGTGGACAATGACAGAAGCTATTGTCACAATGGGAAGGGAGAGGAGAGTCAAGAGCAAGAATGGTTTTAGAAAGCCTCAGTGCCTTAGGGTACTATGCAACTGGGTATTGGTCTGAGAGGACTGAGACTTCATCTATGCAGAGGAATAGGGTGGGGCCAAATTCTAACTACTTCCAATCTTCTGTGGTAAAATAGAAAAGGGAAAGATGGCAAAGACTGATTGAAAGTTATAGGTGAGACACAAAAACCTCCTCCCCAAATGGAGGGAAGTAAGGGGAGGAAACTTAGATTCTACAAGTTTTAAAAATAGGTTGGGTCAGCTTTCACAAGCATTTCAACAGATCCGAAAGCTATACAACTTTCTTTAAATAGGAAAACATGCAATACCCCCTCCCTTACTCTGTTCACACCACAGTGCATCCCTTCACCTACCTAGTGCTTCATTGCACTAAAATGTCTTTCCTGTGTTATTGACTTATGTATTTCCTTTAGGATTTTGCCTGATTTTTTTTTCTCAGAAGCTATACTAGGTGGACTAGATTTTTGCTTATAGATTGAGACTACTTGACCTTTACATAGGATACCAAACTCTCCCTCCCTTGGCAGTTTCTTACCCAACTCCCAGAAAGAAAGCTTGATGTCTGCATCTTGACCCTTCACTTGATGGAAGATCAAGGGGGTCACATTGCTCCAGATGGAAACTGCTTCATGAATAATGTCATTCACTATAGCTGGATTAACTTCTTTGGGGTAATTGATAATACTGAAAGAAGAAACTTTTAAGTGAAATAGTTTAAAGGTAGAGGAATTATTCTAAAAAGGAATGACTCTCCTTTGGGGCAAATCACTGAATATGTTGGGGCCTCATTTTGCTCATCTGTAAAATAGATAAATCCTAGACTAATTTAATCAGAAACTCAAATAATTAAATCTGCAAAACATGGGTTTCTGGGGATTTTAATAAATTCCCCACATTATTATTTTTATTTTTTATTTATCCTCACCAGAGGATTTTTTCCCTTTTTAAAAAATTTATTTTATTATTATTTTTTATTTTTTTAGAGAGAGTGGAAAGGAGGGAAGGAAGAAAGAGAGAGAAACATCCATGTGAGAATATGAAAGAGACACATTGATTGGTTGCCTCCTACACATGCCCCAACTTGGGACAGGAATCGAATCTATAACCCAGGTACCCAGGTACGTGCCCTTGCCTGGAATCCAACCCTCGACCCGTCAATGCATGAGTCATCACTCTCACCACAGTGAACACTGGTTAGGACCCCACATTATTCTTATATAAATGAAAGTCTGAGAACTACAGCCCTTAAAAGGTGATTGCAAGAAAAATAATTGTGAACTCAATTGTAATGTACACCATTTTATATATTTTAGCATTGTTTTGCTTTGGATGTATCCCTAATAAAGTAACCTACACAGGGATCAAAAATATATCAGAAGTGTACACAGTAAACACCCCACCCCCATACATACACATAAAGACAGGGGGAAAAAATAATAGATTTAACTAAAGTGCTAATAGTGAGTGGGATCATGGCGAAAGGATAGCAATTAGGCTCCATTTCTTAAAGAGATTATCTGAACAAACTACAATGAGAACAGGGAGAACCACCTTCTCTAAGGGAGATTTGGGCTGAGGAGAGAGAGAAAACAGAAGACAGTAGAGATGACTCCAGGTGGGACATTGTAAGACGTCCTTTGAGTAATCACCCCATTTATCCCTCCAAGCCTAACAATAAGCACCTATAGGTCAGATTGTGCTTATTCCATTTGGAATGTTCTGGGGAGATAGAGCAGTTAGCCACATCAGTGATTCCACAGCGAGGGTGGTGGAGCTTAGCCAGCATCTGCTCATCCTGTGGGTCTGTCCCGTTCACACATGTCTGCTGTGGAAACTGTATCTCTTTCCCCCGGGTAAGGAGTGGCCACTCTTTCTTGGTCAGGGAACACCAATGGAAATTGTCCTGGGTGAGAAACAGGGAATGGATGAGTACTTGGAGACCAGCAAGGCAGAAACAATATCAGCACCCCAGGGCAAAGCCTCATTTGAGGGCCTGGGAAGGATGGTGCTTTGTAAACCTCCTGTTCCCAGTCAAATGATGACCACTAACCCTGATTCTCCTGTCACTAGGGAGAAGAAATATTAAACACAGGTGATAAAATAAGAGTTACTTAGATAACCTGTTTAAAAATCTCTAAAAATAAAGCATCTGAGTTTCTGCATAGAAAGCACCAAGAATAAAGGTCTCGAAGGTATTAGATAGGAATTGCCCAGGAAGATGGCCTCTGGTCTTTCTGATTGATTGAGGTTTTCTTAGGACAGAATCTTTGACTTCTCAGACATAGAATTTGACTGATTCTGTATACCCGGTCCATTGGCATTTATACATTGCCTTTCATTTATCATCTACTCCCTGTTTCTATTGACTGCCCTACAAGGCCAATCTACTGAATTTTAATTTCCTGGAGAAAAAGCCAGAACTTTGCATTATAGTCAAGATTCTTGTCTGTATTTTTTAACCATAGCTGAACTGAAAGTACTTTAAGAGCAATGTTCATGTCTAATACAACTCAGTCAACACAACAGTTGTTAGGATAGTTCTTGATATGAATCCATGATTAATTTTGGCATTTTGTATAAAATTGCATTTTCATGCTTTTATTTTATTGTGGCCTTGGCTGGGCACTCAGAGGCACCAGATTTGCCATATTTTTCTATTTCACTACATCCCTGAACTGTAATAAAATACATGACTATAACCAGTTATCAGGAGTTTAAGGTATTTTGGGGGATGTTTAAAAGTTATGGGAAAAAATTCATTTCTTGGGGAATTTGAAAGTATGTGGTAGACAGTTTGAGGGATTTCTCAGTTGATAGAAAGGACATATTTATTCATTTGAATCACTTCCCTTGATCCCTTACCATCTCCGAGTCTCAGAGATCCAGATACCTGCATGTTCACTCTCTACCCTAGAGAAGGCAAAGAGTGTGAGAGGTGATCTCTGGGGTCCAATTATTAATTAGGTATAATAAGCACAATGTTTTTAGTGGGGGTGGAGTCCCAAAATGATTTGATTACTTTTAAAATCAATAGAATAAAATGAATGTAGAGATTAAACGAAATGATTTATTATGTAATATTAATACATTTATCTTTATATCACACAGTAATGTGTATGCATGTAATTCATATATGGAAAAAGAGCCCACAATAGTTATAACGTGATAATATTAGTACACCTACCTTAACAAAGTCCAATCCTTTGCAGTCTGTAGCAGGAGGCACTGGGAGGGTCAGGCACTAAGGCAGGAAAATTGTAGCTTTTAAGATGAGAGGCTGCATGGCAAATGCTCATTTCTTACCTGCTTGAATGCACCTAACAGGGATCATGGAGCCTTTATAGCTGTGCCAGCAAGATCCAATGACTCACGCTGCTGTGTGGCCTTTCTTTGTACTGGTTGTGTTGCCATTGCCCATTCTGGGTTGAAGCCCAGCCTGCCAGGGCCATGACAGCAGCCATGTGGTTTATTTTTCATATTCATTTTACACCTGATGGCCCTTTGAATACCTGGTCATAGCCTTGGCTAAGAAAATGCTGGTATATCTCAGGTAACCGGGGACATTATTATTAAAAAAATGGAGAAATAAAAACTAAAAATAGGAAACATAGGAACAGTGTTACAGTTTTGCCTCTAGAATAATTTCTTTACTAACTACAGACAAATACTATCTTGCTCCAACAGCTAAAGAGGAAAGATCCAGAGCTAAATATAACAAAATCTCTGAGAACCATATAGGAGAGATATAGGAACACACAGAAAGAGAAAATTGCTAAAAATAAGTTTGAGAAAATAAATCATTAATGATAAGATGCTAAGTAGGTAGCCTTTGAAATCACATAGATATGGGCATGGATATTAACTCTGTTACTTAAAAGCTAATCTGATTTAAGCAAGTTATTTAAAACTATAATGCCTCTGTCTTTTTATCTGTAATTTAAGGGAACAAATTATATTCATATAATACATCTCAGTATTAGAGATGGCACCTGAGCACTGGGCCTGGTACACTGTAAATCGCACAGACACAAAAGCTAAAGCAAAAACGAAGACCTGGAGACACTGAGAGAAAAATGAACAAACACCATTCTTTACTGAGCACTTTCCAAGTGTCCAGACCTGAAATTGTCCCTCCAATGAGGAAGAGACGCAGTGATTGGATGTGGGTCCATTTCCTGCCCTCAAGGAGCTCATCCTCTGGCCACCATAGGAACACCTGCTACACTCGTCCTCAGAGAACAGAGTTTGCCGATATTCCATGCCTCCCTCCCTCTTACTCCTGCCAATTTTTCCAGATAAACCAAATAGGATATACTGATCCTGTGAAGAGAATGGAAATAGTATAGAGAATAGATGGGGCAGGTGAGGGTGTTCACTACTTATGACTCACCCCCAAACCTCTAGATCCCCACCTCCACCTGAATTCCCTCTCAACAGCTGATCATAATCAAATTTCTTTCTCCCTCTTCCAGGTGTGCCTATTTCCTAAGCATAGTACCATCAAGTCACATTGTCCCTGTAAACACAGCCTCAATAAGTCAAATTGGTTGTCCTTCTCTTATACTTTGAAAACACACCATGCCTTTCTAGAGTAATGCATATTCTGTCAGTTATGCCTATGGCAAATTGTAGCTCCCTGCTATATACCCCATCCCTATTTTCTTTATGGCTGGGACAAACACCATATTTGATTGAGGCATCTCTGCCCTGGCAATATTTGGTATTGAGTAATGGTGAGAGGAGGTAAAGACTGTGCCAACCGCAATCTTGGCATAAGACCAGGTTCACAATTTAATTTAATTTTAGCCTGGTGGCAAGAAGTGATGGAAGCCAGAGTTTTGGGCCTTGAGCCTATGGCAAAAACAAAAATCAAACAACAGGTATTAAGAATGAAAATTGAAAATCTATTTTGGGGAGTTCTAGCTGGTTTCGCTCAGTGGATAGAGCTTCGGCCTACCATCTGGAGGGTCCCGGGTTTGATTCTGGTCAAGGGCACATGACGGGTTATGGGCTCAATCCCCAGTAGGGAGTTTGCAAGAGGTAGCCAATTAATGATTCTCTCTCATCATTGATGTTTCTATTTCTCCCTTTCCCTTCCTCTCTGAAATCAATAAAAGTATATATATTTTAAAAATCTATTTTGGGGAGATAATTTTAAGAAGGATTGGTATAAATTCATCTTTAAATGTTTGCTAGAAATCACTTGTAAGGCCATCTGGTCCTGGGCTTTTCTTTGTTGACTCTTTATATCACAACACATACAAAAAATCAACTCAAAATAGATTAAACAGATGTAACATGAAACAACAAAATTCTTAGAAAAAAAACAGGAAAAATGTTTCTAGATATTGCACTGAGCAATGCGTTCTTGGATATGACCCCAATAGCACAGGCAAGAAAAATAATCAAGTGCAATTACTTCAAACTAAAAGCTCCTGCACAACAAAAGAGACAATTGACAAATTTAGAGACAAACTACAGAAGAGAGAAAATGTTTGCAGATGATGTATTTGACAAGGGGTTAGTTAATATCTAAAAAGATATTAAAAAGTCATTCAACTAAAAAGCCATAAAACTGTTAGAAGTTGGTCTTGGAATCTCCTTAATCGTCCCTGTGATGCTTGTAGGTTAAACCCTTCCACCATATACCTTATCTCATGACCACCTCTGCAAGGACTGGGCCTGTAAACCAAATACTGTAACAGGTGCTGGGGAGAAAAGATTTTTATTCTAATCTTCTAGGTTCTTTGGCTGGTCTAACAATCAAATCAACATAAAACAGATTGACAGAAAAACAAATTTAATTATGTACCTAGGTGGGTGCATAAGAATATGAGGCCCATAGGCAGTTAAGATGAAAAGGCTTCTAAACTATCTTGAGCTGAAGGAGAAAGGAAGGCAGATGTCTAGGGATTCAAAGGGAAGGAAGACAATTCACATGAGAATGGAAAGAGCAAATGTTTGGTAAACAAATGTTTACTGGGTGTTACAGAGACAATAGACACAAAGAGGACTTTGATCTCCAGGCCCTGCCTAACTTCCCCCACCTAGCCCATATCTTTTGTAATTATCTCTGAAATAGTTTTCTTCTTGGGTTAGGCTCTTTATCTAAATTATTAGAGGCCCGGCACACAAAATTCGTGTGCGCGGTTATGGTCTCTAGGCCTGGCCTGCTATCAGGGCCATCTTCCCCAGCTGCCCAAAGTCAGCCCCACCCCCTACCGCCACCCACCCTCGGTTCCCCATTTGCCATTGGGCAATCAGAGCCTGCTGGCTGGGGAAAGGAACTCAGAGGTGGTCAGTGCACCTCATAGTGACTGGTTGAGCTGTCATTCTGGTCGTTCCACCATTAGGGTCAATTTGCATATTAGCCTTTTATTATATAGGATTTGAGCTAGGTAAAGGGGAAGCCATAAGCTATTACTGAGTCTATTGGGGCCTTGATTATCTAGAGCTCAAAATAGTCCACATTCTGGGGAGAGTTGTTAATGAAGCCCTTCACAGGCTAGTTTATCTGAAAGGGCTTTGTCAGCACTCTATAAAGTCAAGCTTAATTCTCTAGAAGTGACTTTTATATGTGATTTAATGAGCAACATTCACAAGTATGACTTCCAGGAAAGGCCCTGATTGCATAACTAATTTTTCAAATTATATCCTGATTAAAAAGAGGACAGGTTCTTTTCTAATCCTCATCCAAAGATATGTTTATTGATTTTTAGAGAGAGGAAGGAAGAGAGAGAAACATCAATGTAAAAGAGAAATATCGATGTGAGAGAGAAGTATCAATTGGTCACCCCCTGTATGTGCCCCAACTGGGGATAGAACCTGAAACCCAGGCATGTTCCCTGATTGGGAATCAAACCTACAATCTTTTCGGTGTACAAAATGACATTCCAACTAGCTGGGTGAAAGGACAGGTTCTTATTGTACCTGTGCAAATAACACATTGTCATAAAGAGCAAGGACACTCAAGAAGACTTTCTGTGTTGGGGTCCAACCCCAGCAGTGTCAAGCAGCAAGGCTGGACCGGCTTCCGGCATTTCTGGACTCTAAGGAGTCAATGAGAATCAGGTCTGACTTCAAAATGTTTCATTTCAGTTTACAAAAGCAGAGTCTACTAAATTATTGGCTGAAAATATCTTAAGAAAGGAAAACCTCAATATATATTCAGAAAATAGAGCATAAAACAACATCGAAACTATTACAAACAAACATAATGAAATGTTATTCATCAATTTATTCAACCTCTTGTAATTCTTTTTTTATATATATTTTTATTGATTTCAGAGAGGAAGAGAGAGGGAGAGAGATAGAAACAACAATGATGAGAGAGAATCATCGATCAGCTGCCTACTGGGGATTGATCCTGCAACACAACCTGGGCATGTGCCCTTCACCAGAATAGAACTTGGGACCCATCAGTCCACAGGCCAATGCTCCAGCCACTGAGCCAAACCAGCAAGGGTCTCATGTAATTCTTATTACACTGGATCTTGGGTTTGCAGGCCCATGGAACTACCTGTCTCTTGACTAAAAATGGTCCTGGATATCATGACTCAGCCTGCTGTAATACAGGCATAACTCCTATTATTGTGCATTGCTTCCTTGCATTTCACAGATATTGAGTTTTCATCAACACTGAGGCAAGATCCTATACCAGCAAAAGAATCACAGCTCACTTAAGGCTCAGATGATGGTTAGCATTTATTTTTTAGCAATAAAGTATTTTTTAATTAAGATATATAAATAGACATAATGCTATTGCACATTTACTAGACTATACTATAGTGTAAACATAACTTTTATAAATACTAGGAAACAACAAAAAAATTGTGACTGAACTTATTGCAATAGTTGATTAATTCCAGTGGTATAGACCCAAACCTGAGATATCTCCAAAGTATGCCTGTTGTAGTCTGAAAAGTTACCCAAGAGTCTCTTTGAACTTTGAAGAGTTGGTGCAGGCCTTTTCCCTGGGCTCTGACAGGCCTCATCTCTGTTGAGGAGAAAGCTCTGGCCTAATACCGATTGCAGAGGCTTCATGAATGCATCGAGTCAAACAGAAATTAATGTTTTAAGCCCTACCAGTGTGGCTCAATGGTTGAGCAAACCAGGAGGTCACAGTTCAATTCCCAGTCAGGGCACATGCCTGGGGTGGGGGCTTGACCCCCAGTGTGGGGCATGTAGGAGGCAGCCAATCAATGATTCTCTCTCAGCATCGATGTTTATATCTCCCTCTCTCTTTCTCTCTGAAATCAATAAAAATATATTACAAAGAAAAAA